AAGACAAAACTAAACTGAATATGAAGTTCCTATAAGGGAGAATACTGTAATTATGAGACGAGGACAATATACATAAATTTAGGAATATGGACTTCTCTTGATGTCTCATTATCAAACACATGTAGTTACTAGATCATGCCAAAATGAAGGAAAGGTTTAGCCTTAACATACCTTAACCTTGTTGAGTCCTTAATAGCTTCCAAGCAACTCTTCAAACAACTAAACTCAGTCTAGCATAGCATAAGGAGATTCAAAATCATTGATGAATAAAGGCTAAGTCCGTAACTTAAGCTAGTAGCTCGTCTATGTGAATTTGGGCAGCATCTCCCCGATAACAAGGGCCTTCTCCAATACTATATACCAACATCCTAACAACACCAATCAATCTACGCAACAACAAGTTGTCGCGCCCTTTTGTTTTCCCTCCGCGGAGAGAGAAGTCCGGGTTTCGACATTCATGGAGGGTAGTAACTCATTTCCTTTTGGGAACTGGGTATTTGAAGAGTCGCCACCTAACGGATTATGGTGCGTTAGGGCACCTAGATTGATTAACTATTGGATTGGTTTGCATTATTAGAGATTAGGGTAAGGGCTCGAAATAACCTTGAGGGGAAGGTGTTAGACACCCCTCTTGGTCCACAACTGTGGATCCCGGCCGAACTTATATTTACAAATTAGTCCATTAACAGATAAGTACATGAAACAAATAATAACAAATAAAGCACGTTTATATAGCTCAAATAATAAGGCAAAGATTTTGAAAAAGTTGTATTATAAAACAAAGTTTAAACAAATGGAATTTTGAAAAGGAGGAGTCCTAGGTTGATTAGCCTATAGGATTACCCCACACAATGTCCGGTAAACACTTCTCAATGAGGGGATACACGTGACATTAGTGCGTAGTCATCATATCCTATATCTACCCTTCATATCCCCCTAGTGGTCATTCAAAGCAAGTGTTGGTCAGCGATCTCTATTGCGTGCTATTACCCGTCCCTTCTTAGTGTTCCTGGAGGGATTTAGGACCTCTACCTATAGGTGGTTCTAGACAGACCCCTAAGGTTTTAAAGGTAAAAATACTAAGGCGACAAGCAATAACACATAGGACTCTTAGCAAACAAGAGCAGGAAGAAGCAAACAAGAGGCTCAGTTTACCTCCACAGAAAAGGCATGTAAACAACACGACTCAAACACAAGTAAATGCCTTTTTTGTTAAACAATATACTAAGGCATGATGTCTAAATGAATATACAGAAAACAGACAGTTTATTTTTTATAAACTCAGAAGTGATGACCCTATCAGTTGCCTACTAATTTTAAAAGCATGTTAAACCAAAACAACATTAAGTCACAGAAACAGTTACAGAGTTGCAAGATGTGAGAACGTCCTATAGGCTTTCCTATACACGACATACTGACGACTACATTTTTATAAAATGAAACAAGGCAGGTTTAAAATGGACTCTTTTAATCCCTATAGACATGTTGTCTAAGGAGATTTTAAAAGAACTCATTTCAAGGAAATATAAACCACTAATTAAATTGATTTAGAAGTGAACTAATCATTAAGCGGATTGACTTATTTTAAAACTAAACTGGGCTGAATTCTGGTGTTGTTCCCTATAGACATGATATCTAATTTTAATACAAATTTAAGAAACTTTGCAGGCATGATGACAAATGAAACAACATGTAAACAAAAGTTATAACAGAAGCTGAATTTGGATTATATCCTATAGTCATGATATCTACTTGTGAAACTGATTTTGAGACTTATAAACATGATTTCTATTATGGAATTACTTGAAACCTCTAGGCATGATTTCTAACATGGTGAGACACACATGATAAGATGTAAAAGTCCTATAGGCATGTTTTCTACTTATAAAGGCAAACACAGCAAAATTGTAAAGTCTTATAGGCATGATTTCTACCCATATTACCCCACAAACATGTAACTACCCACCTTTTCACTAGTTACCCCAATATTCGTTTATAAATTATTACAGACCATATGAATAGATTACATAAGTAAATAAGAAAATAAGAAGTTATTCTATAGGGAGCCTATAGATAGGCCGAAATTTCCAAAGCCTCCAATAGCCCCAAATGCCTCAATTCCATATACAATGTTATAGTCTAGGTGCATCAAAGTTCCCTAAGGATCTCAAGGATCCCGGGCAATGCTTACACCTAGACTTGGTAACCAAAATTGAATAAGTGCAGTGTGGAAGAGTCAACCTTAGCATGCTAGAGTTAAGAGGGTTCTCAAGAGGATCCCAAGGCAGTACACATATTGGAGAAAGGCAGAACCTATTGACTTAGGAGTATAGTGAGAGTGCTTGACACAGTTGGAAGAGTTTTAGTGGGAAAATAGTATAAAAGGATTTGTTGGAAATAGTTTAGTAAAACAACAGAGATAGTTTGAAAAGAGAGTGGAGTAGTAAACAACAGTCTAAACACAACACCCTTAAGACAGGTTCATATACAGCCAGGGGTCACAGAACCAAAGCAGGTTCAGTAGTCACAAACAGGGGTCAAGGGATTTGGGGATACATAGAACACATGATTATAAACACATAACAAGCAAAGGTCATAGGAATTAGTACAGACATGCTCAGACACAACTGATCAGACATAGTCACAGAACCAGCAATTCTTAAGGGTGTTCAGTATAGGATCCACATGATTCAATCGCAGAACCATACAAGTTAGCAGTGCAGACTACTTAGAGGGGGGTAACATGCTCATACTAATTCTCAGGAGGGGAGTTCATAGCATGCTTATCATGTAAGCATATTAACTGCAGGTTTCACAGCAAAAACCACAAGTAAAAGCAAATAAGAAATAGGATGAACTGAAGCAATAAAAGAACCATATTGTTGTTGGAACTTGAATTGAAACTAGAACATACCAGTAGAGAAGATAGTATACAATAGTGCAGGAGTAGGAGAACACAATAGTTAGTCTTGGCTTGCAGCCGTCTAACTCAGAATAGTAACAAGTAGCACAAAAGAGAGAGTAGAAAGTTTAAGTGAGAGAGAGAGAGCTTTTTGAACCCAAAGTGTTCGTGTGTTTTGTGTTAATGAGAGAGTGTGTGTATATATAGTAGTTCGAAATTAGATGAAATAAGGCAAGAATCATAGTAGCATAATAATTATGGAACTCAGAACCAACAAGAGTAAAATCAGGACAAGTACTCCCTTAAGTTAAGGGAATCAATTCAAACGGTAAGAACAAGTAGCATATAAGGAAAGAAATCAGTGTATGACTAATAAGGAAAGAATCAAATCTAGCAAGTATTGGGTAAACAATTAGGGCTAAGTTCAGAAAAACTCTAATTAAGGAAATAGTTCAGTAAGAATAAAGTACCACAACAGACAAGGTAGGCGAATCAGTTAATTTGAATAGAAGAGGTAGAAATTGAGGGTTTAAGGGAAAGTCTTTCAATCAAACCATAAAATAAGGAATTCAGAATCAATCAAAGAGGAAGTCATGATTCAGTATTCAGCATATGAATAGAGTAAGATAAGAATAACCAATCATAGCAAAAATGCAGGTTAAAGAGTATCGATAGAAAGAGGCAAGTCTGAACAATCAAGATGAACATAAACATATAGAGGTGATATAAGTTAGGCATAAGAAAACTCAATAGAACATATTCGAGGCAAGATAATCACAAAAACATAAACAAGAATCAAGTAGTCATGCTGACACACAGAACCAAACAAAGAATTCTTAGAAATTTAGGGCTTTCAACATAGGCGAGTTGAAAAGGTAGTAAAATCATAGAATCCATTGAAATATGCAAGAGATGGAAGTTTAAACATAAGGAATCAGTTTAAACAAAGTTTAAAAGAAGTTCCGAAAACCCTAATTTTAGAAGAAGGTGAAAACCATTTGAAATCGATGATTCTTGTAAAGGAGTCCCAAGAACAATGTAAAATACTAAAGAAACAAACTCAAATCGTTTTAAAATCGTACATATCTAGGAGATGTAAGCAAAAATTAGGGTTTTGAGAAGAAACCAAGGTAGGGATAAAAGAACCTGTCTAAAATCTCAAGGATCGTAACAAGTACAACGTGATTTTTCTCGAAATCATACTGAAGTAGCTAATAGCAGATCAAATGGCAAACCCTAGCGGCGTGGCCCAGGGCTCTTGAGCATGGCAATAGAGGAGCCATTGGAGGCTTAGGAATTGAAGGGAGTTCACCAGAGAAGACAAGAGAAGAAGGTCGGCGGTTGAAGGAGCTAGGGTTAGGTTGAGTGGTTGAGAGAGGAGAGTAGATTAGAGGATACAAGGATGGCAATATCTAAATAATGGGCTAGTGTTAGGGGTCGTTTGGGATAAAAAAGGAATGAATGGATGAGGGTTTTTGATCTTTTAGATCAACGGCCAAGATTTGACGGCTCTTGGGTCGGGTAATTTGATTAGAAATTGGGTTGGAGTTGGGTTTAAATTGGGCTGAAATTGAAAGGCAGATCTGACTATATTTTAAATAGCCAATTTTCCCTATATAATTTTTGGAAAATAATTTTGTGTACTAAAATGATTTAAAATAGGCATTTAATATTTTAAAAATATAGGAGATCAATTTTGCGCATATAAATGTAAATATACATTAATGGAGCTAATATTGCATTTATATGCAGTTTAACTTTAAAAATACAAACTGCAATTATAAAATTGCATAAAAAATATTTTAACCATATTTTGGCATAAATATAGAAATGAAATGACTAAATAACCACAACAATAATTTTAGGGATAATTATTGGTTATTTTATGAATAAATNTATATATTCTATTTTGAAGGTATTTATTCATATAAAAAATATAGGAAAAAATTAGGTATCAACAGCTGCCCCTCTTTACCCGGGAAGGATGAAAGAGTTTACGGGTAAAGAAATAATGGCAAGTTTTGACCGGATGAGATGCTTTGAAAGACAGAGGCCAGACTCTGATTTTTGAGTTGCCAATATATCCTTGGTTTTACAGGAATCAGGCCATGTGTAGTTCTGGATTTATCTGTGAAGTATGCCGATGAAATTACTGAAAGAACGGACACGCGATGCGGAAGCAGCTACGGTGAGCAGTTAAAGCTCGGAACGATTGGAGGGAACTAGATCAAGATCGCTCCTACTTGGATAGCGGTTTCTTACTGGTTAACTACAGATAAAAGATTCTACAAACATGTTTGCGAAAATTTAAACATGATGCAGATTCCCTTTGGACTATGAAGGTTGTCTTTGGACGGTTAAAGATGATGTCCTTAGACCATGACGTCCCAGGCCATGAATTGTTTAGTGAAGGACTTACAGGCCATGAAATGATGTTCTCGGGCCATGACAATGGTTCCTCTAAACCATGACGCCTTTGAATAATGATATGCAAATTTGAGAGATCCTCAGGCCATGGCATGGTGTCTTCCGGCTATGAGGATGATGCCATTAGACTATGACGCCTTCGGATAGATTGGCGATATTTCAGCCTATGATATGCAATAATATGATATTAACAATACAAGGCTTAGTCTTGTGAAATGGAGGGTAGAGCTTAGCCTAGTCAAAAAACAAATAGATAGTAAAATAGGGCAATATCTGTGCAAAAGGGATAGTGCTTAGTCCCGTGCAAGTGAGGAGGCATGGATTAGCCTTATGCAAGTATGGATGAAGGGATTTGACTCATGCAAGTATGGAGTCAGGGATTAGACTCATTCCAGTGAGGAGTCAAGGATTAGACTCATGCAAATGAAGAGGTAGGGATTAGCCTCATGCAAGTATGGAGGCAAGGATTAGCCTCATGCAAATGTGGAGGAAAGGATTAGACTCATGTAGGTATGGAGGTAAGGATTAGCCTTATGCAAATATGGAGGAAGGGATTAGCCTCATGCAGGTATGGAGGCAAGGATTAGCCTCGTGCAGATAGGGAGTCAAGGATTAGACTCATGCTGATAGGGAGGCAAGGATTAGCCTCGTGCAGATAGGGAGTCAAGGATTAGACTCATGCAAATATGGAGGCAGGTATTAGCCTCATACAGGTATGGAGGCAAGGATTAGCCTCATGCAGATATGGAGTCAAGGATTAGACTCATGCAATTGGGGAGTCAAGGATTAGACTCATGCAATTGGGGAGTCAAGGATTAGACTCATGCGAGTATGGAGGCAAGGATTAACCTCATGCAAGTATGGAGTCAAGGATTAGACTCATGCTGATAGGGAGGCAAGGATTAGCCTCATGCAAATATGGGGGACATGGATTAGTCCCATGCAAAGAGCGAGCAGCAAATAAGAGTAGTGTATGTCTTAGCTCGAGATGTATTCGATGTATGATGGCCGGATTGATAATGCATTATCTTTGTGTATACATGTTTTGCGAGTGATATCATTATGTCAAATGTGCTTGTGTTCAAAGAAAAGTTGTAAGTTTTGTGGGGGTAGGTTGGTTCGTGCTCCTATCGGCTGGCTTTGCTTTGCACCGTTCTAAAAGCCTTTCGAGTTCCCCTGGGTGACACCTGACTGTCATGGAAATAGAATTTTCGAGAAATATGAAATTATTAAAAAAAAATAGAGTTGTTTTGGAAACGTATTGATATATCAAGTAATTTTTGATGAACTAGTGACGGTAACACGTCTCAAAAGCATTGCAACTATGTTATATTGGAATTTTGAGGGTCCTCCTCAAAATTCTGCCCCAGTTTGGTAGATGATCTTTAACTGTTTGCGGATGATGGATCTTGCTGGATCTTTCGGAATTTTGAGAATCCCTCTTAAAATTCTGCCCCAGTTTCTTAACTGATTACTAACTTTCTAGCATGCAGTGGAGTTGGTCGGACTTGCTCCGGAATTTAAAGGGTCCACCTCAAAATTCTTCCCCAGTTTCTTCCCTTGGGGGAAATGAAAATTTTATTATGATATGACCGAACCCATAAGGCTGCCTACGTATCCCCTCTTAAACGGGAATCAGGTCTAGCGTAGTTCAATTATATTAGAAAAGAAATGTGAAATGATCTAGCCATAGTATATCTTGACTGCGTCTGAATTGATTGGTTTTGGCCAGACTTCTCCATCCATTTCTGCAAGTATGAGTGCTCCTCCTGTTATCACCCTATGTACCATGTACGGACCTTGCCAGTTAGGAGAGAATTTCCCTTTGGCCTCATCTTGATGTGGGAAGATGTTCTTCAATACTAGCTGCCCTGGTTCCAACATTCTTGGTTTGACTCTTTTATTGAAAGCTTTGGACATTCTATTCTGATAAAGTTGGCCGTGACACACTGCATTCATTCTCTTTCCATCGATAAGGGCTAATTGTTCATAGCGACTCCTTATCCATTCTGCATCGCTAAGTTCAACTTCCTGTATGATTCTTAAAGAAGGAATCTCCACCTCGGCTGGGATGACAACCTCGGTACCATAAGCCAACATGTAGGGAGTTGCCCCGATTGATGTGCGGACTGTAGTGCGGTATCCTAACAGAGCAAAGGGTAACTTCTCATGCCACTGATTGTGATTTGCTACCATTTTTCTTAGTATCTTTTTAATGTTTTGTTGGAGGCTTCTACGGCTCCATTCATCTGAGGTATGTAGGGTGTGGAATTCTTGTGCTTGATTTTGAAAGCTTCACATATGGATTTCATCAAATCACTGTTGATATTGGCGGCGTTGTCGGTAATAATGGACTCGGGAACTTCGAATCAGCAGATAATATGATTCTTGACAAAATCTGTGACGAATGTTTTGGTTAGAACTTTGTAAGATACAACTTTTACCCATTTTGTGAAGTAATCAATGGCTACCAGAATAAACCTGTGTCTGTTTGGAGCAGTGGGCTTAATCAGACCAATAACATCCATTCCCCAGATAGCAGATGGCCAAGGTGAGCTTATTGTATTGAGCTCATTTGGCGGCACTTTTATCATGTCGGCATGTACTTGACATTGAAAGCATTTGTGGACATACTGAATGCAATCCGTCTCCATGGTCATCCAACAGTAACCTGCCCTGAGTATCTTCTTAGACAAGACAAAACCATTCATGTGTGGACCACAGGTCCCAGCATACACATCTTCAAGTAGCTTAGAAGCTTCCTTTGCGTCAACCCATCTTAGTAGGCCCAAATCGGGAGTTCTTCTGTACAAGTTCCCCTCACAATGGAAGAAGTGATTTGACAATCTCTGGAGCGTGCGTTTCTGAGTGTGATTTGCATGCTCCGGGTATTCTCCTTTTGATAAGTATTTTTTGATGTCATGGATCCAAGGCTTTCCATCTGCTTCTTCCTCAACATGAGTACAATATGCCGGCTGATTATGGATCCTCACCGGATTAGGATCAATATAGTTCTTATCTGGATGTTGTATCACGGATGATAAGGTGGCCAATACGTCGACAAACTTGTTCTGAATTCTAGGCACATGTCGGAATTCTATCTTGGTGAACCTCTTTCTTAATTCCTGCACATGGTGCAAATATGACAATATCTTAGAATTCTTGGTGGCCCACTCTTCTTGTACCTGGTGCACAAGCAAATCTGAGTCACCGATTACTAGCAACTCTTGAACGTTCATGTCGACTACCATGTTGAGCCCTAGTATGCAGGCTTTATATTCTGCCATGTTTTTGGTGCAAGGAAATCTGAGTTTAGCAGATACCAGATAGTGTTGGCCCGTTTCTGATACCAAAACTGCTCCAATGCCCACTCTTTTGAAATTTGTGGCTCCGTCAAAGAACATCCTCCAACCATCATATGCTTTGGTAATGTCTTCTCCTACAAATAATACTTCTTCATCAGGAAAATACATTTTCAGGGGTTCGTATTCTCCTCCCACCGGATTTTCAGCAAGGTGATCTACCAATGTTTGTCCCTTGACCGCCTTTTGAGTTACATAGACGATATCGAACTCACTTAGTAGTATCTGCCACTTAGCCAACTTCCCGGTCGGCATGGGTTTTTGGAATATATACTTTAGTGGAATCCATCCTAGATATGAGGTAGGTAGTGCATGCATAAAAGTAATGCCTCAATTTCTGGGCTGTCTAGGTCAAAGCACAACAAGTGCGTTCAAGCAGCAAATACCGTGCTTCATAAGGTATGAACTTGTTGCTCAAGTAATATATGGCCTGCACCTTTCTTCCTGTCTCGTCATGTTGTCCCAAAACACATCTGAAGGCTTAATCTAATACAGATAGGTAGAGTAACAAAGGTCAACCTGGTTCTGGCGAGACCAGAACTGGTGGGGGGGGGGGCAAGTACTCCTTGATCTTGTCAAAAGCTTTTTGGCAATCCTCGGTCCAGCTTGTTTCGACATCCTTTCTTAGCATCTTGAAGATGGGTTCACATATGAATGTGGACTGTGCTATGAAGCGACTGATATAGTTTAGACGTCCTAGGAATCTCATCACATCCTTTTTGTTCTTAGGTGGTGGTAACTCCTGAATAGCTTTGACTTTAGACGAATCCAGCTTGATCGCTCGACGACTGACGATGAATCCTAGTAACTTTCATGCATGAGCCCCGAATGCACACTTTGCGGGGTTCAATTTTAAATTGTACCTCCTTAGCTTGTTGAAGAACTTCCTCAACTATGCTATGTGATCTGCGACCCTCTTGGATTTGATAAAGACATCGTACATATACACCTCTATTTCTTTGTGTATCATATCATGGAAGACGGTTGTCATGGCTCTCATGTAAGTGGACCCAACATTCTTTAGACTAAATGGCATCATCTTGTAACAATATACACCCCATAGTGTAATAAAAGCTGTCTTCTTTGCATCTTCTTCATCCATCCAAATCTGATGATAACCCGCGAAGCAATCTACAAAGGATTAAAGTTCATGCTTGGTGCAATTATCGATCAGGATGTGTATATTTGGCGGTGGAAAATCATCTTTGGGACTTGCTCTATTTAAATCCCGATAGTCAACACATAATTTGACCTTCCCATCTTTCTTTGGAGCTGGCACAATGTTAGCTAACCAGGTTGGATATTCAACCAACCTAAGAACCTTGGCTTTGATCTGCTTGGTAACTTCTTCCTTGATTTTCAGACTCATGTCTGGTTTGAATTTTCTGAGTTTCTGCTTGACTGGAGGACACATGGGATTAGTAGGCAACTTGTGAG